AAAATAATTTATATATCATCAAAAAGAAGGATACTTCATTATTCTACTGAAAATTGAAATCTACCCTTCTCCTAAACTCTTTGCAGTGCAATGCGTAAAATCGATATTTTTTTATTTATTACTACTACATTTTATCTTTTGTCTGGCGTTAATGCCTACACTCCACTCCCCGGGGTATATTGGTATTCTTATGTTCTCGCCGACACTAAGCTTTATTTCAAAACTGAAGAATCTTCCAACCAGTTATTTTACCTTGACGTTTCCAAACCGTTCAACGCAGTAGATACCTCAAGTATTCCTTGGGTTGATATTACACTAACTAGCATTCCTACAAGAAACAGGGACGCCGCTTGTGCAGGTGGAATCAACAATAGTTCGATTTTTCTGTTCGGTGGAAATATGGACGCATCTGATCCGTATGGTCTCGTTGCTCAGTACGATATCATTCAACAACAGTGGAAGAAACCTACGATCTCAGGAATCGTTCCAAATAATAAACCAAATTCTCTCCCTTGTACAAGCACGAAGGATGGGTCGATATATATATTTTCAACTGATGGAACAACGTCCGTATCTGAAATGAATATTTTGAATACTATATCCTTAACTTGGTCTTCGGGATCGATAATCAATGCACCCCTGCGGGCAGGCGTTGCTGGATTCACTGCAACACTTTTACCTGATGATACTATTTTATATATTGGAGGAGAAGATACTTCAGGGGATATGGTGTCATGGGACAAGGTATATACAGCTTTTTACATCAGTTGAATTCAAATATATACAATAGTATTAATGATTGTATTCTTACGTACATACATTAATAGCTGCCACTATACGATATCAAAAATGACACATGGAATTACATTGTTAGTAATTAAAATTTTTAAGATCCATTTTTGAAATAACCCTGGTCATTGAATCAAAAAATTAAACATTAAAATCATTATCTAGACAACCTCGGGCGATGTTCCTTCTTCACGTAAAGGTCATACTGCTATTCTGGGTAAATTTCTTCTTATTTAATTTTTTAATTTATTTTTACTCAAAAAATATATTATCCTGAATATTTGGATTTATCAAACAGCTCCAGATGATCATATTATAATTATTGGTGGATCCCCTGTTAGCCAATTTATTGTATTAGATATTAAAACCTATGAGTGGTCATACCCATCAATTGATTCTCTTAATGGAAGACCGGCTCCAAAAATTGCTTATCATACTGCAACATTACTTGGAAAATATATTTTAATTGGATTTGGTAATTCAGAAAACTTTTTGTTTATTGCATTTGAATAAATACAAATTCCCGAGTAATTAATAAATTAATTTTATTTGATAAATTTAAGGTTATGCACTAGATACTTATCAAACAGATATTTACCTAATGGATATTAGTGACAGAAATAATTACAGATGGACTAATTTATATGATCCATCAAGTTTCTTAATCTCAATGTCAACATCGTCATCAATTCCGATCTCACCATCATCATCAAATCCGACTTCTTCATCATCGCCAAATTCGATCTCACCAACATCATCAGATTCAACTTTAAAACCACCAAATTTTTCTTTAATTATATCACTTGTTATAGTTAGTTTTATAATTTTATTTGTTGTGGCAGTTTTAATAACAATTAAAATTCTTAACAACCGTTATGCTTATGTTATTGATCCAACGGATGATAGTAGTATAAAGAATAGAACAGATAATCAACATGTATAATAATACTTCTAAGTCTATAATCACAAATTAATTAATAGATTTCTGGGGCAACTCTAGAACATATATGTATAAATGGTATCTCATTATAGAAATAGTTTATTAGTTCATTTATTAATTTATGTATATTTATTTTTTAAGCGGTTTACATTATATGGGGGCATATACTGTAACAAAATTAATATTAATAATGTCACAAGGTGTTGAGTCATCGCGTAAATTTCAATTAGCAGCTTTTTTCCTGTGTTTTATTTTCATCAATTTTCAAATTTTTTATTATTCAATATCCTCCGTATAAGATAATTGGAGTAATTAGCCCAAAAGTGTGGATTAGAGTTGTTTTCAAATTTTTCTTTTGTTAGATTATTGCCCATTGTCCTTTTCGTTTGCATACACTTGCTTCTTATATATTCCCGTTTTTCTTTCTAAAGGGCACAGGTTTCGTTTGCAATTCTGGATATCTTCTCGCATATTTTCCCCAAAAGGAAAGTAAACCCCAATTGCCGCTACCAAGGTTTTCTTATACTCTTTCCAAAGTCTTCAGTCTTTCGATTTCTTCGTTTCCAGTATTCTTTATCTTAACGCCAACATTATAATCCACTGTTGCTGTTTCTCAGAGATTTATCCAATGGCTTTCGATGATGGTGTCTTGTTCCCTCAATTTATCCATATCTAATTACTGGACTGAGGGAATACAAACATTCATTTCAATCGCTGGTTTTCTACCTTTCTTTTGCACTTGAAACGGTGGAGACAGTTGATATTGTTATTTGACATGTATTTCCTTTTGTTATTTATAATTTTAATTTTATTAAATTGCATCGCCCAATTAATAATGAAAGAAGCTGTGATCATTACAAGTCTTAATAGGAATGTCCTTTCCGTTCTATACAGGTTCTTAGCCTAAACATGGTAAAAAATCAATAGGTCCTTTCAAAAAAGAAAAAGAATCCAAACGTAATTTTTAAAATTCACAGCTCTTCACACTTACCACTATAAATTTTCATTGCAACCATCTTTTGATTTTTTTTTTTTTTTTTTCAACAAAAGATATTGTAATGATTATTTTAGGGGCAGAAAATGAGCAGGGCGTAAAATATTTTCCAGTGAAAATATCTATAAAAGAAAAAATTTGATGAAAAGAGATACATAATAAATATATCTAATGTGCGGCGGGCCCTCAGGGCGGTTATAACAAATAACTTGACTTAGCAATAAAATATAAAAAATTTATCCTTAATAGTTCTAAAGATTTATTAAAGGCATACAAAATTTCAAACAAAATGCCTTGCCTTGGGTAGCGGAACCCATGTTATAATAATGAGCAACTGTCAGTAGAAAGAAAGAGTAATGAAAGAATGCATAGAAAATAAAAAAGTTAGTTGATATCACAAAAAAATTTACCAATTGTTTCTTTCATGATACCAAGTTGTAAAGTGTGTGTATGCTGAAAGTCAAAGTAATGATGATTGATAAAATAAAAAAATAACAGCTTATCTTTATTAAGAAAATTTTGAGAACGAACAAAGATAACAGCAAAAGAATTATTAACATTAAATGTAAATGCAGAAAAGCAAAACTTGGTCAATATTGTAAGCTGTATACCAAACGTCTCTCAAATACTGAAATTTTTCCAATTATACTTTCGAATGCTCGAATCATTTTATCAGTAATAGATGTAATTCTCCAAAAAAATAAAGAATTTTTTCTTATTGCATTTTTCCTAGTACTTTTTCTGCATTTGGATCACCGTATGGACTCTATACATTTCCGCATATTCTGTATTGTTAATATTATAGATTAATGTTTAAAATCCGTTATAACACAAGGTTTGACTAATTTTATTTATTTTGTTTCTGTTTAACTCTTAATTATCTAATCTTACTCTTTTCTCCAACAAATATTCATATATAATAATGTTAATTATAAGATAATAATTAACGATTCCTATCAAAAAAAAAAAAAAGTGCAATATATATAAACGTTGTTAAAAAACCATCCAAAAAGTACAATATATAAAATTTTTCCTTCTCCACATGGAGAAGCATATGCTCCTGCGGAGGGTCCGCAGAGAGCTTTGCCCTCTGCAGAATTCCCGGGACCATGCATTTTCCGCGAAAATGCTTCACCATCTCTTCGTTTTATAATTGGTGTACTGTTGTCACATGCATATATTATCTAATTATCTAATACTAATAAAACATATAAATCTTTATTGCACTGTAAAAATCAAATCATGAATACTACTTGCTTCAACCCTTGCTATTTTTCGTCCATTTAGTGTGTGTGTGTACAGAAAAAAGATCGTTAAAATCCGTTGTGGCCACAATATGTGCTCCGTGGCGAAAATTTTTGGCCTGGGTCAAATTATGTAACAAACAGAAATGATCCATCTATACAATTTTCGGGGCTCTCTTGTATCTAATATATTCTTCTTAGACTCGTATGTGCCGGGCTAAGTTCTTCCAGTGCTTAGTGACCCTTGAGACTGATGTTTGGCAGAAGATGACCTTCTTTGACGTAGCTCATCCTATAAGGTAATCCGGTTTATTATTTTGCACTCAAAAAGTAAAGAATTTTAAAGGGCAATTAAGCGATTTAACTCCTGTAAATTTAGGATCACACTTCTAGATGGGATTAAACAAAAAAAATCAATTAACAAATTCTCAAGAATAAAGGTCTTACGCCACATAAAAAAAGGAACAGATTTTCTCTCTCAAGAGATATTGCTTTTGTGAATTGCAATAAAATAATACATTTTATTTATCTCTATATTTATTTATCTAATATTCTAATAATTTAATAATTTTTTCTACATAATTTATCAGATCATAATCTTCAATGTAAATTTTCAATTGATTGTTTTCTTGGTTAAAATCTTGAATTAATCCATTAATAAGGTCTTGAGAAAAATCCGGAAATTTCCTTGATAGTTGTTCATAAGTTGAAGAGAAAAATGTTTCACCAGGTGAACAATACCAATCTTTAATATGTTTAACTTGTGAAGAAGAGGAATATATATACAGAATTTAAGATATATGATTTAATATTTATAATTTTAATTTGAAAGAAAAAAAATTTTTTTCTTACAGTTTTTCAATTGATCAAATGTATAATAAATAATCGTATCTTCGAGAATTTCATTGATTTCCTCGTCAGATTTATTACTTGTATTTATTATATCATCCCACCTAATCAAATAATAATTATAATAATGATTAATATAAACATATATTAATTAATTAAATTAATTAAATTAATTAATTGCCTTTCATGTAAATAAATCCTTCTCCAAATAGTTTTCAATGATTCGTTAGAAACTTCAATTGGCAACTTTTTTGTAAATTTTCATATCAATATTAATATTCAAAACAATTAAAATTTTATCACCAATTAATTAATTAATTAATTAATTAAACCCACATTGGAATCTTCCGTCAATACTTGAATAATCATAGAAAGCTCTTCTTTTTCTTTAATATCTCGAAGCGTTGCTAGTTCAATTAACATATCTGTTGGTATTGTTGCACCCCTTAATAAACGTGATGCATAATAAACGAAAAGCTTTTTTTTTGCATGAAATGAAAGTATAAGTGATAATGTTACATTATAGATATTATATATTATTTCTTAATAATAAGTTATTACTTGTGCTAATGCAGGCTTTTCATTAGATATAACTTTAATTGTTGATAATATCATAGAATTTTCACTACTAAAATCACCAATTATCTCAATACTGTTAACGATTGATTGTTTTATATCATCATATGCACCAATAACCATAATATTATTATCAAATTCTTAATCATTTTTTAAAGAAAAAGAAAATCATTTTTAAAAATTAATAAATTATCGATTATTTTAAAAATTTAAAAATATAATTAAATATTCATATATCTACGTTTTAGATTTTTCTGTATTTCTTCTGATCCAAGGTCTGTTTCTTGATTTAAGCTCGCTAAATAGGATAATTTTCCCACTGACAGCAGTGTCTACAAAACACCAGCGGGGGAATTTTATAAAATTGTTATTAGTATGTTGAATAAATACTACCACTACCACCACTATTACTACAGTTACCATCATAATTACTATTTTCACCATTCCTAATTACCTTTTTTTCATCACTGTTCTTTTGTCTTTGTGATAATTTTAATAGATCAGTAGATGCTTCCTTGTATTTCTCTATCTTTATATAGTGTAGCCAGGCAATTTCTTTTAAATTTTTATCTTTTAAAAAATCTTCAAGCCAATCTTTATCCTCAATCAAATATTCTTGTTCAAATAATTCAGCATAATTCTCTGCTCATAAATATAAGTAGTGAGAAATGAATAAAGGTAAATAATTTTAAAAAGTTTTGAATAATATACCAACCATTTTCAATAAACCATTCATACAATCTATAAGCATATTTTTTTTTATATTTTATTAAATATTTTTTATTATAATCCTTTATATTTTGACTGAATTCAAAAATCAAGTTTACTAATGCCTTGAAGTCATCATATTCTTCAGCTAATAGAATTGCCTTTTCCGCTTTTCCAATCTTTGCTAATATCAAAATAAAAATTTTTAGATGTTTTAATAATAAATAAATATAATTTATTAATTGATTCATAATAATTACCAATTCTTTTTAAAACGTCTGTCCATTCATTATGATACTGCATAGCTTGACTTTGTATTATAAAATCATCTCTTCATAAAAAATAATAATTAATTAACATAACATAGTATGACATAACATAATATAATAATCACAAATAAATAAATAATTTTAATATTTACATTTTAAGATGTTGAATAGTAATAGCAAGAAAATAACTGACCAAACCAACTAGCTGTTCTTTAAATTCCTCGTTTGTCATTTCATTTAATTTCTTTTCAACTTTATTGTTGCTGCTATTATATTTGTTCTTATTATCAAAAAGTTTACCTTTGCCTTTGCCAGCTGAAAGTTGAATAGTAGAATGTTTAATAATTGATTCTGTTGATTCAAATTGTTGATAAATGGTCATAGGAAATGATTGATGTGCTAAATTTAAATATAAACAATTGTGTAATTATTTATTCTTATAATGGTTAATATCAATTGTAGTCACTATAATTATTTGAAGATAGCATACAAGTCCATGATTCACTTAAATTCAAATTATAACTATTCAATGAGTACAGACTCATCGAATCTTTTCTAAAATTAAAGGCAGCATCAAATGAGGTCTAAAATAATATGAAAATAAATATAAATGTATTATAAACATGTTAACATTTAAATAAATAAATAAGTATTACATACCAAAAGAATTTTATTTATTTCATAAGTCAAAATTATTTTTTCGTCAGTTATTGAAGTATTTTTTATTATGTCTTGAAAATATGAAAAAATAGAACCAATGTCTTGAATCTATAAATAAATTGATGATAATAATAATTATAATTATAACAACAACAACAACAACAACAATAAATAATTGAATAAATAATAATAATTTATATACATACACAATATTGATAAAAATATCTTATAATATCTTTATTTGGCTGAATATTATGAACAACATTATAATTTTCAATTGCTTCTTTTAATTCTTCTAAAACAAATTGATACTTTTCGTTACCCCCATATCTAAAATAAAATAAATAATTTATTAATATATTATTGCTAAAGAATCGAAAATAAAATTTGTTACAAACTACATACGAAAGAATAAGTGAATTATGATACATCCATAATTTACTAGCTGTTGCTATCTTTTCTGAATTACAAAACAAATGGTTTCTTGTTGACAAATGAAGCTATAAATTAAATAGATAAAGAAACAATTAAATATTTTTAATTTTTTGGGGACAATAATTAATTAATTAGTTAATTGATAGATTGTTATCGTTACCTTGTTTGATAATCCACTTTTATTAATTAAATCAATTAGCATATTTAATTTATTATATCTTTCATTAAGTTGTGATTTTAAATCAATAATATCATCAAAATATTTTAAACCTAAAATAATAAATAATATTAATATATGTATGTAATATAAAATAACTGAATTAATTAATTAATTACCTGATTTTACAATATCATCACTAAGTTCAGATATTGCTATGTCAAGATCACCTTCAAAATCAGCTGGAAGCGCAATGTAAACAGGCAACTATATTTATTTATATATATTATCAACTAGTATTATAAATTATTAATATTATTGAGGTAGTTATTAATGAATGTTACTTACATTTTCATCAATTTTGTTATATATTACTTGTTCTAATTTTTGCTTTAAATTTTGAGTTTTTTGTGACTTTATTATTTTGGAGACATGAATAATTAATACTAATATAAATATATAAATATATAAATATAAATATATAAATATAAATAATAATTACACTTAAATTCTCAATATCAATTTCCTCATCTTTACTACCCAATCTGTAAATAATAATATATAAATAATACACTATCTATATAATTGATATAACGAAATAATAGTCAATGGCTTACTCTAATCCTTGACTTTCTTGTCTTAACTCAGCAATATTTAATTTACATCTCATTATGCCATTTTTAGCTGTCAAAAACAAAATTTGAGATTCATCTTTATCCTCTTTGAAAAACAATGATTTAGAACCTTCTGCACAACATCCCATAATTATATCAGTTGCTTCACTTAGTAGTACCGTAGTGCTATAATTAACATCTAATCAATTATTTATTTATATAATATTTGTTAGTGTATGATATTAATATTATTAATAAGATATTATTAATTAGATGTTAAATTTTAGAAACATATATATATGTATAATCACTTTTCAATAAAGTAGTTATATGTATAGCATGAGGAAAGGCTACAAATACTGCTGGACCACCATTAGGTATTACTAAATATACATTGTAATTATCAACATTTATATTTGACTAATAATATTAAATTTATTATTATTAATATTATATAAAGAAAATATAATTAAAATACTAATTAATATTAATTAAAAAAAAATCATCTTACATTTGGAATTTTGATACTTTGATATCGAATAATATCATAACTAGTACTTTCTGTATCAGCTTCGATTTTTTTACTTAATATCACCAATGAATATGACCTTAACCTATTAGTACTATCATTGTTGTTATTGATGTCATTGTCATTAATATTTTCAATGTTAATGCTATCTTGTTGAGTAATTCCAGGTGACAAATATGACACTAATACAATAACTTCCTTGTTACTATCAGATTATTTATTTATTTATTTAGTTAAAAATGAGTGAATGAATATATATATAATGCCTACAAATCTATAATATAATATAATTGTAGAAATACCGTGCATATACAATGTCTATCAGCTTGATATCTAGATCCATATTCTCATGTAAACTTTCATTTCCAAGTAATGCTTTGGAAATAGTTTTGTAGATCTCTTGTCCTAATAAATACTTTTATTTAAATATAAATAAATATTCTAATTTTTTTATTATATAATATAATTATATAAAAATTACATATATATACATTGTATGATGACTTATCATGTACTCCCATCATCCAATTTTCAATTCCAATTTCTTTTAATAATATTAACTCACTACAACAATATTATTAAATAAAATTAATTTATAAATATATAGATATATAATTTCTTGAAATTTAATATAAATTTATTACCATCGAAAATCTGTCCCAACAAAATTTGTTAAAGTTGATGAGATAACTTTTCCTTTGATTGTAGTATTGGTGGTAGTGTTAGGTGATGATGAGTCAGAGCTTGACCATAAATAAGATAATGGTCGAAATGTGGTGGTTTTAGGATATAATTGTGTGTATTCAAGAACACTTTTCCCAGTTGAATTAACCAAAAACACTTGATACAACATTCCTTTCTTTGTTCCAAATATCGCTAAATTTCCTTTTCTTGATTGTGTATCAGCCTACAAATTTATTAAAAAAAACGATTAATTAATGGATTAGAAATAATAAATTAATACATATTATTCATAATAATACCGATAGTAATTAATTACTTGATGACAAGCTAAATAAGTAATATAATCATCATCGCTAAGATATACTTGTAACTCTTTATAGTGAATCCCATCAAACATTGATTTTGATAAATCATTCCAGTACCGGAATTCACCAGTTGGAGTAGAAGCAAGTAAACCTAATTGTTGATAATTTGTTATGAAAGTTACAAATGGTAATTTTCGAGGAAGATTTGAAATTCGTTGTTGACCATGGAGTGATAATGGCATTTCTAATTTATATGATACAGATCGAGCCGTATACTAGATTTATATGAATAGGTTAATAATATATAAATAAATATTTTCCATCTTCTTGATCTTCTTTTTGAATAATAATAATGATATATATACCCTTTTATATTCTTTTTGATATTTCCAAACCAAACATTGTTTATCAGAAAAAACTGTTGCATATTCAGGCATGAAATTCAAAACGCCTTCACATTTCTCTATTGTTAAATAACAATAATAATAATTAACATTTATAACGTGTGTTGTCTGAACATTAAAAAAAATAATATCTTTTTTTTTTTACCATTTTTCGATAAAAATTCCTTGACATCAACAGGTAAAGAAGCAACAATCTCAGTGATATTTTTATCATAATTCATTAAAGTTTCAGATAATTGAGATGACGATGGTAAAGAGTAATTATTATTATCAGATTCTTGAGATAAATTTGAACAAGAATCTACAGACATTGGGTAGTAAGGCTCTTGTGAATTATTATAAATTGAATCATTATCATTAATATCCATTTCGATATCATTATTTAACGATGATGATAAATCTAAGGGTGCTTTTTTTCTTGGATTTGAAGATGTAAACATGTTGATATTCTTGATATTCTTGATATTTATTTATTAAATATTATAGATTTTTTTAGCGAAGTTTTTTTTCTCCAAAAAAATTTATCACGTGTCCGTGAATCAAAAAATATAAACACTTTGATCACGTGGATAACAATCATTTGCCTTTTTAGGTATCAACAAAGCACAAGCGAAAAAAAAGAATTTATTGGTCAAGGTTATTATCAAATTTGGAAATATATCCAGATCCCTCGCTCTGAATTGTAATTTAAACGAGTCATAACTTCTTAATTGCAGAGCCATCTTTACCCCAAAAGTCTGCAACTTTTCAGCTAATATGCTTAACTGGGTAATACCAGTCAGGTAATGTGAGGAAAGATCAAGATTTATGGAAGTGTCATTGATGCATACTCCCGAAATTTGGTTGCATCATTGTATCTTCAGATTAGTATTAGGGGTTGGCACCGTTAACCGTTTAACCGTGGTTAACCGGTTAACCACCATTTATTAATTTTTTTTTATATATTACAGTCAAACCTCGTCACAGCGGACCTCACCACAACACATT